CTCAAAACCGTCGTCTATTATATGTAAATAGACGACGGTTTTTTTAAGAACTTTCGTCTATTTGATGTAAAAACGACGATTTTTGTTAAAGAACTATGTTTTATTATATCCAAAGACGTCGGTTTTGTTAAAAAGCCATCATCTATTAAATGTGAAGATGATGATTTCTTGAAATATTGTCGTCTATTAACTCTAAGACAACGATTTTTTAGTAAAACTGTCGTTGATTGTATATAAAAAAGACGTTATGGTGTTAAAAGAGGTCATTGATAATATATACAGATGACGGTTTTTCCAATAAAACCATCGTTTTATTATATTTAGTTTTTTGAAGAGTCAATAGTTATTACATAGTCAACCAATCTTTATTCTATTACATACATACTTCCTACCTATAATTAGAAATAACGGAGCTCACAAATTCTACTAATTTGATTTTAACTTCATCAATTTGTTCTTGGGTTGACTTAGCTCTGCCTTCTTGCACATTTTCCAAGTTGTTGGTGTCGAAAAAGGAAAGACCTGCACGAAAGAGACCCCAATACTCTTAAACATAAACTTGTTTAGCAGCAACCTAACCTTAGCAAAAAGATCTATGCAGCTCTAGAATGACAGCAGAACACAATTGGCATAATTGGCAAAGTACCTGTTCTTGTGGTGGCACCATAACCTGTTCTTGTGGTGGCACCATAACAAACGAAAAATCAGAGATTCAAAAAATTAACAATGAAATTCCAAAATAATTAAAGTAAACAACAAAAACAGATTTCAAGGAGGGAGAGATAAGATTTTCATAGAAGGGGGAAAACTCTGAAAATTTGTCGAGCGCAAATTCAATTAAGTAGCCTTTTTTTAGCGTGTTTTAAAAGACGACACTTGTTAATGAGAGATAAGGTTTTCAAAGACGGGTGAAAATTTGAAAATTTGTCGAGCGCGAATTCACTTAAGCGGCCATTTTTTAGCGTGTTTTAAAAGACGACGCTTTTAAAAAAAACCGTCATCTTAACATATAATAGACGACCATTTTTATAAAAAAACCATCGTCTTTACATATAATAGACGACTCTTTTTATATGAAAAGGGTTGTCTTTACTTCATAATAGACGACCCTTTTTTTATTTATACTTTCGTTAAATACAACATAAGATTTTGTGATATCCACTAGTGTAAATATTTTAAATTGAAGATCAAATTGAGTCATTGTATTCATATAGGGTCAAGGAGTGTAGCTGTAAAAAATCATCAAAATCGGAGTTAAAATAACCGTTAAATCTTGATTTTCGTTTATAACCGTCGAAATGTTTTGTCCCGTTACTTGATCTCTGTTTTTTTTTTCCAATTTTTGGCGTATATGATCTCGATGTGTAAACAAACAAGTTTGATGGTTGGATCGTTGAAACTAGTTTCGTAGAATGCGTATGCCATCAAAACAATATATTCACTAACAATTAAGAGTTTATTTATAATTTCATTAAATACAACATAAGATTTTGTGGTATCCACTAGTGTAAATATTTTAAATTGAAGATCAAATTCAGTCATTGTATTCA